TTTCCTAACCGGTTTCATAACATAGTGGCATGCACCATGTTGAATTGCGTCCACCACCGATTTGGTTTGATGGTCATTAGACATAACTAAACAAAGTTGAAATAAAGTATTATATTTTCTCAAATTAAGAGAAATTTAGTTTATAATAGGTTGAAAAGTAAAAATTAATGCACGATTTACATACTCACTACAGGAAGAGACATCTTTGAACCAATAATTTCAAGAGCTTGCAGTCCATTAATTCCAGGCATATGATAATCCCATATCACAATATTAATATCATGTTTACAGTTTGTCAGAAACGAGATAGCTTCTTCCGCGTCCGTATAAGTTGTCACTGGATAACGAAAAAAGAAGTATAAACCCTAAATCCTAACTTTAGCAATTCTTTATTAAATCAAACAAATTATACATATATACAAGAAGAGAGTTACCTTGATAAGTGTACTGTTTCATGATTTCTTTCATATTACGTAAAGTGATGAGATCCGGGTCGACAACAAGAACATTAGTACTCTGCAGAAATTCATTGAGAGGAGAGTTGACTTTCGAAGTTTCCTGCTCCAGAAAGAGAGTCTTATCTCTATCATCGGTCTTATGTTCTTGCGACATTATAAATCTTACTTTTGTATAGTTTTGGATGAAAGCGAGAGATAATATGTATGCTAGGAGATATATGCATCTTATTACAGGGACGAATGACACTTTTTATATTACAAAATTGGATTTTATTATCATAAATTTTGACATGTGTCAAAATTAAATTTATACGTGTACATAGTATATTATAATAAAAATAGAATGTAAGATTTATGGTAGAATACNACACTTTTTATATTACAAAATTGGATTTTATTATCATAAATTTTGACATGTGTCAAAATTAAATTTATACGTGTACATAGTATATTATAATAAAAATAGAATGTAAGATTTATGGTAGAATACAATAAAAGAAAGATTGAAATTAGTTGTCCTGCCAACTTTTTCATTTAAGAATTTTATCAAAAGATCCCAAAAAAAAAGAAACAAACTATTTGACTTTCTCTTTTTCTACATGACTTTCCGACTGTGTTTTTTCTTTAAAAAACATACTATTTAGAAATGTAAGAAATTATTTTTTCACTATGAATTAACTTGTGAGGATGATTTATTTCAATTTTTTATTAAGGAGTTTTGTATTAGCTTAATAGATTTTCATTCCAGATTGGACTTCCAACTATGCCAGAATTTTACCCCCACCTAAAATTCCAAACCAAAATATGAACTTTTATTGAACAAAACAATTTACAAGTACCTATATGGGGCTGAGACATGAAAACCCCAGTCTCGATGGGAACTATGCCAAGGGTACAAGCTACTTAAAAGAAACATTTTTGTATGAATATGTACAGAAGTAATAAGATAACCGGGTTTAATTCGCCATCATGGTAAATAATGAGTATTGGTTAGCTTACCTTAACATATTTAGATATATATATATATATATATATATATATATATATATATATATATATATATATATATATATATATATATATATATATATATATTTACTTATTTATTTATATTAAACAGATTATTGTTGGGGTGAAAATCAGTTACGACGAAGTTTACATCCAAGTATCAAATAAAAGCCCAAAATTGGTCGCTACATAACAACCGAACACGCACACGCTCAGTCACTACGTAGCGACCGAGCTCGAGCCAAAGCTCGGTCGCTACGTAGTTACCGAGCTCAAGCCAAATCTCGGTCGCTACGTTACGACCGGCTCAAGCCAAAGCTCGTTCGCTACGTAGCGACTGAGCTCAAGTCAAAGCTTGGTTGCTACGTAGCGACTGAGCTCAAGCCAAAGCTCGGTCGCTACGTAGAGACCGGCTCAAGCCAAAGCTTGGTCGCACGTACACCTTCGGTTGCTACGTAGCGACCTAGATCAAGACAATAGCGACCGAGCACGTACACGCTTGATCGCTACGTAGAGATTGCTACGCTCTTGTCTACTCTTTAATGCAATCTTCCGAAGGCCACAATTGAACTACCACTCCTTTCTTACTGATTGGAGTTATCGTTCATAATTTATGATAAAAACCACGAAAATTTTGTTTTTATCAAAAAGAAACCGTAAAAACGTCTCGAGTTGAAATACGACCCAAAGAAGCCTAGAATGAAACGAGAAGCCCACTTACGGTTTTTATTGAAAAAGACCATAGATCCTATGACAATCTATATTTGGTTCGCAAGAGAAGATAAATGTGAATTTTCGCGGATAAAAGAAAAGTTCCGAAGATAATAGTGAAGATCGGGAAAAATGAAAATCTCCATTTTTGGGTTATGATGGCTTAAGGGCAGGAGTGCAAAGTGTAAATCGACTTTGGAGGGAGTATATAAGGAGTTCAAGGCGAGAGAGACAAGACAGAGAAAACTTAGCACTTAGAGCATTTAGGAAATTTTCCGTTTTTGTTATTCGAGTTGCGTCTCAATTAGGGTTTCCGCAGTCTAAGGTTGCTAGAACTAGGATCTCTCCGTCAGCTCTTGTAGCCAAGGCTCCTAACTCGTTATAACTCTTATATGCAGAATCGGAATAAGAATTCTTTTTGCTCTCTTTTTAATTCATATTTATATTATCGTCTTTTTACTTCTTGTTCTTGATTGCTTAGTGTGTGGTTCAACAGATAACTGGGACCTCTGGGAAACTAGGGTGTACCTTACGTTTCTATTCAACGGAAATCGACAGTGCGAATTTTGGTTCCCACAGTTTGGTACTAGAAGGAGGGGGGGGGTTACGGATCTATCTAACTCGCAAGCCACAACACACTCGGTCAGAAACATGAGTGACTCGACAAGTTCGTACGGAAGACAACTAGATTCTTTAAAAATGTTTTGGGTGTTTTCCTTTTGCATCCATTTGTGTATCACGAATCTATGTTGCTTACATGGAGCTGGTTTAGTATTTTCAGAACTTTATCTTTGACGGCCTACAGTATTGAACATGTAAACGTTTTATACTGTTCAAGTGTTTTCTTTTTGCACCAGTTTGTGTATCAAGAATCCAGACTTGCTTACATGGAGCTGGTATGATATTTCCAGAGCTTTGGCTTTGAAAGTAAAGGGGTGGTTACTTATGCTTTATCTGTAGCATGGGGCTAAAATAAAGCCTAGTATTACTCTATTTTCAAGCTGTGTAATCAAATTCTTGCTGCTGCTAACTGTCTACTTCCTCGGTATTTATTAGCTATAAAACCTTTGATGTCATGTGTTCTCTCTTGGATTAGCTATACAGTTAATACTACTCTGTTTTCAAGCTGTGTAATCAAATTCTTCTTGCTGCTAACTCTCTTTCTTCTTCGGTTTCTATTAGATATGAAACCTTTGACGTCATGTGTTCTCTCTTTGATACATTTGTTCAATCGTGACTATAAGTTCAATTTTGTTTTTGAAAACGTGATTGGGTTAATAGCAGCAGAGTAAAGCGTAGACGTTAGAAAATATGAACTATCTGAATGTTCCTAGAGCCATGGTAAAAATATATATGAAATGATTGATATGCTGTACGAATATATGTTGTTAAATGAGTTGATATCAAACGGCTATAGCTTCATTAACACTATGACGAAGATGGCAGAATATATAGCTCAACGAAAATAATATTTTAAAAATAATTTTCACCTAACCATTATAAGGAGGTCAAAGATCTGCAAGCAACACTTCCATGAACTTGAGTTCACAAGTTGTAATTGCATATCTCGATACTTGACTCTAGAAAAGTTTGATATCCGTATGGAGACCCACGTTTTCGAATTAAACTAGAACTTTTATCAGGTTCGTAACATTGTTATTTGAACAAAACCAAAATAACAAAACTCAAACT